TATGGGTAATGCTACATGTACACACACACTTTTACACAATCTTTTACACCTCTCTCACATGAAGGGGGGTCCACGATTATTTTATTATGTGTGGGCCCCCTTCCATGTGAGAGAGGTGTAAAAGATTGTGTAAAAAATTGTGTACACTTAGCATTATTCTTTAAAAAAATGGGGCTCACCCCATGTGTGTTTTTTTTGTATGATTTCTGGTTTTTTTCTGTACATATAGCGTTGTTCTAATATTTTACTTAAAATGTATATTTCATGTTATGGAGATCATTTTTAGATCTAAAGAGTAAAATTATTGATACAACCCAAGCTCTTTATTTTACATTTTTCAAAAATATTTATTTGTTCCTTTTGAATTAATATATATTTAATACCCAATAAATGCAAAGATGGTTTGAATAATTCAATAAGAGCATGTTTGGCTAAGCTTAAAATCGGATTAAAATTGAAAATATAGCAATTATTGGGTCCCACTCGTATAATAAAAGTCAACAATAACGGTTAGGTTTTCAATTTTAATTTCTACCGAACACACACTAAATAGAACATCTAACTTATTAAATGTAATCATTATAAAGTACAAATGTAGAGGATGCCTCTATTTTTAAAAGTTAAAATAGAGGGATATTAGAGTATAATTCTAAGGATTTGCCTCTCTACAAAGTGTAAGTTGGAGATGCTCTTATAAGACCTTATAAATTAAAATTTTCATAAAAAATAAAGCCAAACGAATACCAAAATATCCAAAATTTGAATATTTTTCAGGTGAAAAATTATACCAATCAAACACAATTAATTGACAATTCCCAATAAAACAAGTCATATGCAATTCAATTCCCTTAAATTCACTTTCTTTCCACCCAAATTTCATTCTTACAATTAAACGAATTCTTATATTTCTTTTATCGGATGTGAATTAAGCTTTTGTATATAAAAAAGTGATAGGACATGTCACTTTTTATTTCAAATAGGCAATTAGCTAATTTTAACTTCTTAAATTAATATTTAATTGGTTGGGTTTGTAAAGTAGTGGTTAAATCTAAGTTTAGATGGATTTTTTAAATGGAAAAAAATCGTAATCATTATTTTTAGAGATAATATTTTGACTTATTTGACATCCCACAATGACGCCAAAGAAGAAAAAGAATACGCGTTTCTCTCTCCAAATAATATTAAAACTGTTGTAAATAGTTAGTTATTGGTGAATGACAATTGTACTCCTAGATATTATTATCATATGTATTCATATTCCTTCCCTGTAAATATAGAGTTTTGGTTTTCATTATAATACATACAAGTCTATTGACTTATTTTATTCTCTCTTTTTATAACATAAACGATAATAATTTTACTTTTGTAATTTAAATTTCAAAAATTAAAAATTAAATATACATTACCATCATTAACAGGAATAGGAACAAAACAAAAGCATATACCAAAAATATATCTGATCTGTGAATAAAAAAGATAACACCTAATTTTTTTTTATAATGAAACTTAAAAGCATGGTTTCCTTTAATTTTATCATTTCAAAATGAGATATGCTACACATACGGGGAATTCTCCGTACTCTTTTTCAATATCTCGATGAACCTTTTTCAATATCTCGATGAAAAAGGTTCACATGACCTAATTTTGCCCAAAAATTATGTATATTGGGCTCAACCTTGAACTGTCGTCCAATGAATTATTTGTACCGGGGTCCGAACATGGGTCTCAAAGGGCTGAACTGTACCAGCTCTCCTCAACCTACTTCATTGCTTGAGCTGGCTTGTGTTAGTTTTGAAGCAAGACGAGCACAAGTCAGTTCGATCAAAAATTTGTTGATTGGCTCCTCCGTCACATTATCTTTATATTTTTATAAAATTTATTTAAAAATTTAAATTATTTGACTTTCGAGAACGACAAATTGGCCCATACGAGTTGATAGTTGATTTGTACGAAACTACCACCTCAACTTGTCTTATAACTCCTCTCCGAATCAAGTTGAGCTGAGCCAATCAGTGACCGGTCCTTGGAAAACTTGACCCCTATTAGTATAGATTAAAAACAAATTTTTAGCAGTTTTTAATAAAAATTGATGAAATTTGTGAATTCAATGAAATATATATGATTAAAATAAATTATTGAGCTATAACATCATGCTATTAGTGTTATGAGTGTGTTTCTCGTTATTGGGAGAAAAATAGAGTAATGAATAATATTTTTTGGAGAATGTATGGTTGAAATTTATAGTACCGTTATTGATTTGTGTTTAGAATATTTTATTGGCAGCTTGTTTGGTAGAAATTTTTGTGGGAAGAATTGATTTTTGAATAGTGATATGATGAGAAATGTGTGGTTAAAAAAGAAGAAAAAATTATTGATATGATAAAAAATATTATTTTATTGAAAAATGTGTGGTTGAAAATGAGAATTGATTTACTGTAGGAAAATCTAATCCCTCCCAAATAGGGCCATAATGGGAAAAAAAATAGTTTTTATGACCTCCTGCAT